ATCCGCCAAAAAATCCGTTGGAATTGAGTATGGCCCAAAGCAATCAATATCTGCCGATACATTTTTGCTATATCAGCGGTGAATACTACGACGGGTATGCGAAAACGAAGAAGAATGCTTAACAAATCACTCTGAACAACGCCTCCGACTTGAAGTACCTCGTTTAGAGACTTGGCTGACGGACAAGGCTTGGCCGAAGCGTCGAACACCACTCTTAGCTTCGTCGTCGAACTGGTTGGCCGTAACACTGCGTGGTGTGGTAAATAATAACGACCTTGAGAAAGAACATCGTTCGCTTCATCGACTTCATGACAATGACCCAATGCTTCGTACTCAGCAATAAACTCAGAGTACAGTTTCTTCAGGGTGGGATCCTTCTTGAACCGTCTCTCGAGCATTAGGAAACGACGAAGTGCAACAGACCGGTTGTCCTCAAGTAATGCAATATCTTCTCGGAAGGGGAGTGAAACCATGTAACGTCCAGTTGACGTCCGACGATGTGTTGAACGGAAAATCTCCTCGCATATATTTAACTCTGTTTCCTCCTTCACTGAATGTGAAATATCCTCAACTTCCCAGAACCGACTTATCGTCTCACTTAGGGAATCAAGCGAAACAGGTATCACTACGGTATCAGCAGCATCGTTGTTGATTTCTCCAGCGAAGACCCAACCGAGATGGGTTTTATGGAGCTCAGGAAGACCATCGGCTAGGTGAATCTGACCAGACTTCAGCAACGTGAAAAACTTTGAAGCGCTGATTAGCATGTCGATTTTATCAAGCACGTGGAATGTAGGATCTGCCAATTGAACTCCGGCAGAAATTGGCCACGATGAAACATCTATTTTAACGGAAGGGATGGTACCGGTTACCTTTGGTACCACAAGGCATTCCATATCAGTGGAGAAATTGGGATTGGGAACCTGGATTGGATCGTCACTGTCAGTTTCTCTCTTGCGTAGATCTTTGCTCCGCCTATTCCGGTAGCTGGCACGTTCACTGGCTCACGGGAAATCTTCAAACGGTTGGCGATCGTCTCGGACAAAACACATACTTGGGAGCCACATCATTGCCCGGCAAGGAACTAACTGACCATCAGCACTCTCAAGATTCACGATAGCAGTTAGCAGCATCACGGTCTTCGCGGTTTGAGAATGGTTGCAGGAACAGGATGTGTTGGCACTTGTTGACGGAACGATTTTGGGAACTGTGTTGACTTCAGCAGCGTCCTTGGAAGAGTCCTTCTCAGGGAGGGTTTCGGTCTCAAGGGTTTTCGTGAAGGATTCTTCGTGCAGGAGGGTGTGATGTCGCTTGTGACATTTCGAACAATTACTCTTGGAAGAACAATCCTTGGCACAGTGGCCAAGTCCGAGGCAGTTGAAACAAATTCTCAATTGCTTCACCTTGTTTATGCGCGATAGGCAATTTGGTAAAAATGGGACACTCAAAATGGCGGTGGTTTTCACAAAATTTACATTGACTCGAAGAATTAGAGGACGTGACAGTGTGTGCCTTCTGATACACAGGTTTTGTACTGGAATGTTTGGACTGAGGCTCTTTCGCCACAACAGGATGACGAGAATGTTGGAAACGCTCAAGAATTTGGCACTCACCTTTTAAGAACACCAACGTATCCTCGTACTTGGGTAACTCACCATGTTTTTGCTTACGTTCCCACAGCTGTAGGGTGTGATCGTCCAAACGGGAGGTTAATAGCTTCGTAATGATGACCCCGGATAGTTCGTCCACTGCCAGACCGTGGTACTCCAGTCCTGCGACGTGATGCTCACATGATTTCGTTAACTCCAACAGATCCTTGGAGTTGCTCTTCATCATCGGTTTCAACTGGATCAATCCATCGACGTGGGTGTCCACTATGACACGCTTGTTTTCGAGCTGTTCTCTCAACTGTCTCCATACTTGATGGAACTGAAATAAACACGAGTGTTCACCGGTTGGTAGTGGTGTTGCCATGTGGTACACTGAAAAATTGCAATAGCAGGTTAGTCACCAAAGTTTTCGAACCGCTCCGTCTGTCACTTCGTTTGTGCTACTACCAAAGAGGTAACTCTAAGACTAGAAGGTCCCGAAATAACGTGTTCAACTTTTTGGCTCAGCTCTGGTACTCTCTTCGGTCCCAAGCTATCGATTCACTGCTCGAAACATAGGAAAAATCAATAACCCCTCATTTTACCTGTCAAACTTTCATAGCGAATCAAAACAAACATTGCGTAGTACTAGAATTTCGACTAGAATGGGTTACGTTAATCGTTTGCTTGGGACCAATAGGCTAGTCAAGTATTTAGCCAATTTAAAATCGTTAGTTTCGTATTGATTGTTGCTACACAGCAAAAAAAAATGTAATATCGATCAACGTAATTCAAGCTGATGTATGAAATAATGATGTAATAGCAAAAAGCAGATACAATATTACATCAATGGATGTAATTTTGTTCGCAAAATCGATGTACATCGTTCAATGTGATATTACACAACCGATGGATTGACCTGGTTGCAGCAGTTTCGATGTAATATTCAACAACTTTTTTGGCTGTGTACTACTGGATTGAACTAGCATTTTCACCAAACGTACTAGAATGTTTTGGTTCTATCTCTTTCACTCTACTCAAAACTGAAATGCATAAAAAATGACAAAATGATACACTCTTTGCACACTGTCAAAGAATCATTGTACACAAAATCAGCTTTGTGCAAAACCAAAACAAAAATACTATCCCATCTGGTGAATGATGGCACAAGCTTCTAAGAAAATTCTATTACAGCGAACCACATTATTTTAATTGATTTCTTCGCCAGTAAGTCGTCTGTCACTTCGTTTGTGGTATAAGCGTAGTTATTAGACTGATGCAAAATTTGAAATTTTCGCTCCACAGTGTTCAAACCACAAACGAAGTGACAGACGACCAACTGGCGAAGAAATCAATTAAAATAATGTGGTTCGCTGTAATAGAATTTGCGAATCAAAACAAACATAGTGTAGTACTGGAATTTATACTAGAATGGGATACGTTAATCGATTTGCTTGGGACCAATAGGCTAGTGAAGTAGTGAGCCAATTTAAAATCGTTAGTTTCGAATTGATTGTTGGTATTAAGGCTGGCGCACAATAAATACGTTTTCGGGTTTTTTTTTTGACAGATAATGCATGGGTTAACTGTTAAAAAACCCGAAAACGTATCTATTGTACGTCGGCCTTTAGTCACCAAACCCGGATAAATTCAAAACATTACTTTACCTTACCAAAAATGGTTAAAAATGGTTTATAATCCCTGCTAAACTTTAACTAAAATGGTTATGGAACTTTACACGAACGTTTGTGTGATAAAGTTTTAACCTTATGTATTATGGTTTTTTGGAAGTGAACCTTACAAATAATGGGTTGTTAAGAACCATTACCATTTCAAATTCTTGTTTTTTTCATACATTTTTGGGAAAGGAATTATATTGGAACTATTTTATTTATGATTTGAGAACTTTAATGGTAATAGTTATGGTAGTCGGTAAGGTTCATAGCTGGTTTTGTGACATCCATCAACTTTATGTGGAATATATCGCGAATTGGTTGCCTGTAAATTACTGATTACCAATTCGCGATATATTCCACGTACACACTCAGCTAAGTTTTGCTTGTTCGGTAATTTTTTACCGGAAATAATCGGTAAATTTAGTATATTACAGATTTTTCGGTAAACAAAAATAATTTCACCAATATTCGGTAAAATTTTAACGAAGTTTCTGTAGTTTGATTATAAATTTGATGAAAAAATACCGAACGATCTGTAAAATAAGCCAAAACGCCGAATTCGGTAAAAAATTACCGAACAAACCGTAAATCACAAGTAATTTTACCGAAATTTTGTACTATCAAACTGTCAAATCTGGAGAGGCTTTATTTACTAGTGAATGGTAAATAGTGCATCCGGAATCAAGTGCAGCAGGTAAGGATAAAAATTCTTGACCACGATCAATGGATCACCGACATATTTCGTGAGTAACTGTTTATTTAGCAAATCCAATTATTTTCCAGGCATTTTCAGCGATAGCATGATTTGATTGCAGGTTATTTATCTGGACTGCATCTCATAACATCGGGCTCTAACACATTTCGGCGTCAAATACATTTTTTATTGCACGTATCACAAGTGCAGTGACGGTTTTAAAATTAAATAAAAACTGATAAATATTATTTCAAGACTTTTTAATTCAAATTAACTGAAAACGGTAGTAAAATAAAAAAAAAATAGTGGGAAAATCAGTTTAACAGAACAGTTCGGTAAAAAATTACCGATTCGCTTCGCAAAAAAGTACCGAATCGTTCGGTAATTTTGACAGCTCATCAAAAAATTGGTTTACCGAACGTTCGGTAGGCATTTCGTTTACCGAACTGATTACCGAACGTTCAGCTGTTGAAAGTTCGGTAAAAAATTACCGAGTACGGTAAAAATTTCTGAGTGTGTAAGGTTGACCGATAATACTAAACCATTAATGGACCTAACTGGCTACCATAACCATTACCATTAAAGTTCTCAAACCATAAGTTAAAAGGTTTTAATATAGTCCTCTCTCCGAAAATGTATGAAGAAAACAACTATTTTGAATGGTAATGGTTCTTAACAACCCATTATTTGTGAGGTTCACTTCCAAAGAACCATAATACATAAGGTTAAAACTTTATCACACAAGCGTTCATGTAAAGTTCCATGACCATTTCAGTTAAAGTTTAGCAGGGATTATAAACCATTTTTAACCATTTTCGGTAATGTCAAGTTATGGTTCGCTTCTATGCGGGAAGCTTTCGACCCGCTCCGTCTGCAACTTCGTTTGTGGTTTAAACACTTCGATCAGACGTGTGGAATTTTTTGAGTGTACTCAGCTTGCATGGCAACGATGGCAACCGGTTCAGCGAATCTGTTTGTCGATAGTTTTGACATTGACAGCTATCATATTTTGTTTCTATCTCATTCTGTCCATAAAACAAATCAAATTTAACTCAATTGCAAAGTCGGCACTAAACAATGAATGAAAGTGATATTGAAGATTTAAAAAAGCAACTTTCCATTGCGAGGAATGAAATAAAAAATCTTAGGTATGTTTTACTGCTACATGTCTATGGTATCATAAACTGTAATCATGATTGTTTTAGACAACAAATCAGTAACCTTCAGTTTGTGCACCAGAAAGATGTTCATACAATTAGAAGCGCCCTGGAAAATTTCCAATGCGAATCCTGCCGATCGAATAGCGGAAAGCTACCAGATGCAGAACAGCCTGGAAACGTAAGTAATCTCAATACCTTAGTATTGTCACTTCAAGCTAACGCCCAAACATCGATAATTACCCTGGTGTAAATCAAATTTAAAACAAATAGCAGAATACTACCGTTAATCCGGCATTCTATCATTCGGCAGCTGTCAAACTTCATGACCGATGCCGGATTAAGTATATTTCCAGAGTGATTTAAGATTTGGGCGTAATTGTGTTTGTAAACAAACAGGTCAATCGCTGATTTCTCGTGAATAAAAGCTCAATCTTATAAACAAACTATACCAAATGGTAGAGGAATCATACTTCTACTTCATAGTGTTATTAGTTTTCAAAATTGAGCTTTTATTCGCGAGAAATCGGCGATTGACGTGTTTGTTTACAAATACAATTACGCCCAAATCTCAAATCACTCCGGATTTATAAGCAATAATATCCATAATATCCCGTTATCACCTCTCGATGGCAAGTCACTGTGTTTCGAATTATGTCCTTTTTCCATTAATAGTTTTGACTGTGATGCAAAATCTCGACCATACACGGCGATATTGACAAAACAGTCATCATCGCTCACTCGAAAAATCTTCATGCCAGTGACAAAGTAGTCACTGACGAAGATGTGCAGTTTCTGTTATTAGCTAAATTTGTAACTAAATTAAATGAATTCAGTGCCAACATTTCAAAGGGGCGTAGTTGCTTTTGTAAACAATGACTTTATCCGTAAATTTCTCGCGAATGAAATCTTACCTCTCCAAAATAACAATGCTAGCTGGTAGAGAACCTGCTGGTGTCATTATTTTTCATGAGTGAGCTTTTATTCGCGAGAAATCGACGGCTAAAGCCATTGTTTACAAATACAATTACGCCCCTTTGAAATGTTGGCACTGAATTAATGGAAATAATTCCATGGAGCCATGATGGATAATGATAATGATAAAAATTATAAATGAAATTACAGGTTTTGTAACCAGGTGAATCTTTGACATTGACGAAACCATGAATGAGATTATGACGAAAGTTTATGTGTGAGCAATCATGTGTTTCATGCTTCTTCTGACAGCACTCACCACCATAAGACGAGCAGCCTTCAATCGTATGGTGGAAAATCGACTTGAGAATGTATGACGAAATTCACTTTTAATTATAAATATCAATAATGGTGCAATTTGCCCGTTATATCATTGGTTAGTTTTTGCACCTTGACGTTGGTGGGAGAGCTTAATCTCATGTCTTAATGGAACGTTGGAGACGTTGGAGACGTTGGGTGTATGGCCGGCATCCATAGGCGTAGCCAGATAGGGGCAGGGGGGGGGGGGGGGGGGCGATCAAGCGCATGCCGTGGCAGTGTGCCTTCATGCACGGGCGTTGTGGATTATTGAGTCTTCCGTCTCTGATGAACCATGGCTTAAGAGAACCAAAGTTCTAGACGCTAATGACAGTAGTACCAACAATCAATACGAAACTAACGATTTTAAATTGGCTCACCACTTTAGTAGCCTATTGGTCCCAAGCAAACGATTAACATACCCTATTCTAGTCGAAATTCTAGTACTACGCAATGTTTGTTTTGATTCGCTATGAAAGTTTGACAGATAAAATGAGGGGTTATTGGTTGTTCCTATGTTTCGAGGGGTGAATCGATTAGCTTGGGACCGAAGAGAGTACCAGAGCTGAGCCAAAAAGTTGAGCTCGTTTCTTCGGGACCTTCTGGTCTTAGAGTTACCTCTATGGTAGTACTTCGTCGGTTGTAGCACACCAGTGTATTAGTAATCATATATACACGGTTAGAAAAAAGTACCCAAAATAAGTTCTTTTCACTCATCTCGGCACTATAGTGCAGGAACCCAAAAGTAGGTAAAGCGGGTCAAAGTAATTTTCATTTACTTGTGTGCAATTCGTATGGAATTTTCCACTAGCTTTCAATCCAAAAGTAAGTTAGTTGTACCCAACAGTAGGTAAATATGATTATACTCAACGTTGGGTTCCCACACTTTACTACCCCTGTTGGGTGGTTTTGCTCCTCAGTTTTTGACAACATTAGAAGGAGAAAAGGAGACAAACTAGTCAAAAGTAGGTAAAAGTGAACTGGGTACTTTTTTCTTACCGTGTACAGAGATTCGCGGAAATATTATCAGACGATTTGGCACCGTGATTTGTTTTGTTTACAAAAGCTGCCAACACTTGCCACAAAGCCAAATGTTCCAGATTTGTGCGTGACTTTATCGTTTTCTACGCTACGGGTTAGTTTGTTTACGTTGTTTGAATTCTCAATGAACTGGTGAACTATTTCTGCCAAGTTTTGCCCTAACCACGGTCGTTGAATCAACAATCAATACGAAACTAACGATTTTAATTGGCTCGCTACTTGACTAGCCTATTGGTCCCAAGCAAATCGATCAACGTACCCCATTCCAGTCAAAACTCTATTGGCAAATCAAAGTTGGCACTCGTGGAGAATAGAAGAACTATGAAAGTGATGATGGTTTCAAAATTTTCCACGGGAAGGTATACGAATGCAATCTTAAAATGCTTTTATTTTTCAAATGGAGCATTTTATTTAAATCTGGTTTCTGCTATAGTGGTAGAAAAGCTGAAATCTATGTATACACTTAAAAATCAGAAAAGAAATTATTTTTTCTATATTATATGTTTATTGAGTAGTCCTTATGTTTTCTACTAACGTAGCACTAACCAGATTTAAATAAAATGCGCCATTTGCAAAATAGAAGCATTTTAAGATTGTACTCGTATACCTCACCGTGTAAAATTTTGAAACCATCATCACTTTCATAGTTCTTCTATTCTCCACGAGTGCCAACTTTGATTTGCCAATAGCACCACACTATGTTTGTTTTGATTCGCTATGAAAGTTTGACAGATAAAATGAGGGGTTATTGGATTTTTCTATGTTTCGAGGGGTGATTCGGTGATTCGACTAGCTTGGGACCGAAGATAGTACCAGAGCTGAGCCAAAAAGTTGAGCACGTTTCTTCGGGACCTACTTGTTTTTGAGTTACATCTATGGTTGAATTGCCAAGAAGTGTAACTATGTGAGTATTTTTTTTTCGGTTTCCGTAAAACGCTGAACTTTGTAAAAGAATTGGCTGGAATTTTGCGGACTACCGCCGGATATTTCCCTGCATATTTCTGTGCGTTTTTGCAGTGTATGTTACAATGATATTTTTTTGTGGTATCTAGTTAATGTCGTTTTCGTTTTTGCGGTGTAGCACTGGTGTAGTGTAAGCAGGAATAAGCACGAGTCTTTGACAGCTCAACATCATTTGTTTGTAAACAAAGGTGCATCCTATATCTACACCCTAAATTATTTCGGTGTACGGCAGTGAAGCACCGGTGTAGCTACACATTTATCACACTTGTTGCATTTTTGGGGCTGTCCAGTAACAGTTGCAATCAGCAGAATTAACCAAACTGAGAAATCTGCGACCTATGGAGCTTTATTAAAGCGTTATTCGATAGAGCTTGCCAAACGCGTTCTGGGCTTTGTAGTTTTTGGAATTTAGTTAACAAAATTAATTAACTTGCCTACATAGGCTATCACATTTATTTTGTTGGAACTCATTAAGTAATCAGCTGTTTTGACGTTGGATAACGTCTTTCGGCAACATACGGGGGTACAAAATTGAAAACAGTCATTTTGGATGCGTTACGAAAAATTCAGGCATCACATTTGATAACGGCACAAGAGCATTTGTAAACAAACTTTCTAAGGCCCTTTACACGTGAACCAAAGTACGCCCACGCAAACCAACAACATCATCGGATAGGGGCAACTAGCACCTTTCCGAAAGTGGTATTGGTTTGCGTGGACGTACTTTGGTTCACGTGTAAAGGGCCTTAGAAAGTTTGTTTACAAATGCTCTTGTGCCGTTATCAAATGTTATGCCTGAATTAAAAGATTTTGAACGATAATAACTCAACCGTTTCTCGATAGATTTACGAGATAATGGCATCAATCGATTGGAAATATTTCTAGCAATTTGCTGAATATTTCAAAACTATTGATTTCATTCTGTAAACAATTGAAAAATGGTTAAAAGTAAACCATTGTCTAAAGATGGTGAAAATCGATTGATTTTTTTTTATATTCTTATACTTTCTCCAACCGAGACATCAGATGCGAGTATCTGACACCTCTGATATTTTCTGTTCTACTATATAAGCGTCCAACAAGGTCGCCCGTTCCATCATTGTCAACAACATCAGCCCAACAAAACGGCCCTTTTCAGGGCCACCAAACTTTCGCAAAAGAGTTATTAAGGAATATTCCTAAAATATAATATACACAATTAAGTACAACACATAACAGAGGTTATCCAACGCCAACCCTGCGGTCGTATCTAGTATACAACCCTTCCAACTTTTTTTTCTGCTGTTCCGAGTGGCGTTCAGAACTCGCCCAGTTTTCGGAACTCAGTTAGTTTAGATATTTTATACTTAAACAGATTTACTGATTCAATCGGAGTTCTACGCGGATGTATCTTTTGCCACGTCAATACGCACTCACGTCACAACATTTTTTTCCAAAAATATCTTGAAACAATACGCAAGAACCAGTAGTCAAACTGCCAACATAGACTAGTCCTTCTATAGTATGTATTGTCGAAAGATAGAAGCAAATCTGTCAAATGATAATGACAAATCTCACCAGTGTGTATGCAGTGTCATACAACTAAGTTTTCTCTGTTTACAAAATACAAAAAATACAGGTTTAAACAGTACATATCAGATACATCAATTTCAAAAGTTACGCTTGATATGCACAAATAAGGGTCTGTCCAGAAATAACGTGAACGGTTTTAAAGAGAATTAAGACCCACGAACGGCATTCGCTAACTGAAATGCGTTAATTGTGTCGAATATGCTGTCAAATGCACTTAAAATGCATCGATATATCCTTGTGTTTATTTCGTTCTTCTTGATATTTTGAAATGTAAAATTTTTACTGATAAACAGGGATGGAAAATCATTTACATTCATTTACATTCATTTGCCTCTAACTTTTTTCATGATTGCCGAAATGAATGTAAACGATTTTCCATCCCTGCTGATAAATGTCCTTCAAAACTTTTTAGTTAAAAGCCAGTTAAATGTCTCAGTTAGCGGGTGTGTAGTATAGATGACCTATTCAGTATAGTAACATTTAAAGCATCAAATTGAAATTCTTTAGAGATCTTGGACATTAAAAATTGTCAAAGTTCTGGGCTTGAATAATTTGCTGCGAACCCTATAAATTAACAAAACATTCATAGATTTTAGTTCACTTGCCCCGCTGGCATTCCCATGGAAGGGTGTAATAGGAGACTGGATTTTATGCATATTTATTTACATTTGAATATCAATGAAATGCTGGATTAACGTGGATCTAGATTTATTAACTATGGATAATAACCAGTCCACGGCTGCAAGTCTATTATCGAGAACAAACCATTAAACTTCCAGTGGAAGCATAATTGTTCCATCTGTGTATGAAAGTACACATAAACATAGGGCAATTATGCAACCACTGGCAGTAGATGATGATGGCCCCACTTCTTATCCCTACAAAGGTCTGAGCTGTACGATTTATCTTTAAGATAATTAAATATGACAGCTAGGAGACGAACCAGCCAAGGGCTGAAAGTCTCCTTATTAAAGATATTAAAAAAATATGACATTTAACCAGGTTATCAAACAAAAACAAACTGGTTACAGGTACAGATATAAATTCCCTCAAGAGTTTACAGTTGTTTCATAGCGATATAAATTTGGAAAAGCTTAGGCGTCCACCTCCTTATTTCGCCTTTTTGTCCACCTAAAATATTCATAAGTATTACAAGCGATCAAGAGTTAATGAACAATTAACAAAGCATCACATACACTAGCAACCCCGCAATCTGATGCTATCGTAATTTTCAGCAATGCTCATGAACCCGCGACATTCAGTCAAAAAACTAACTACTAACCCAAGGCATCTTCCAAAAAGCTTCAAAGTTGCATTTTTTATATCAAACGTTAAATTCAGTCCTCTATATCCGTAATATGCGCACGAGGCTCAAACCTTTGTAGGCTTTTCAAAAAATGTTTTTAACTACTACTATTAAATCAAACATTAAAAATCCATTATCACCATCGTGAAGATGTAAAGATGTTTAACAACAAATAATCATATTGGTCGGAGTACTACAAATATTACTATAATTATGGTTATGTTATTTAAAGTTTTATAACTTGTTTTACACTAATGTGAGATATATCCCGTTATGTCACGCTTGTTCAGAAAAAAAATCCAATACGGCAGGTAAAGGGGATGCTCGACCCGATTCTTACCTTCATCAAAATCTCCCTTCACTCGCTTTCTACTATCCATATACAATTTTCACACTGCCGTCGTATTATAACGGAACTATCAACTCTATGCTTTAATCTCCTCATCTATTGTATAAAATGTTCACTTTGAGTTTGATATTGACGTTAAGCATCTTCCACTATGAAAATGAGCATGCCAATTCTAATTGCGGATATACAAAAACATCTATTTTCAAAACAATTCACTAAATGGATTAACGTCACATTGTCAACTTTACGAAGAAAAAATTTGAATTTGTACAATCGCGTAAATTTTCCTCTACTTGTATGCAACACTGCTGTTATGCGTTTTTGCGCTTAGATCTACATGAAATGTAAATGTAAATTTACGCTAAATAAAGCGTTAACAGCGTGTGCGCAATATATCGTAGAAAATTACATGAAATTTTCAAACGGTGTAGAAAACCCAGTTTCAAAGCTTGAAGATTTTCGGAAATTCTGTGACTTCCATCAAATAACTGCTTCTTTCGATAAGAATATCTACATCTTGTTTTTTTGTATAGTAAAAGCGATGTTCTATAGGAATACTATTTCTTGTCAGCAGAACTATTTACAATTTTGGAATTATTTTTAAACAAACAAGACTTCAACGAATCTTCAATAAAAACAAACACTCAACAAACGCTTGATTGTTTTTTTCGAGTTCAGTATTGAGCTGACTCTTATGGCGGTAGAACTTTGACAGCTACGGCTAACTCTACAACAGGCGACGTTTGGACATATTTCTCAAGATCCATAAAATATAGATATTTTAAATTAAGAGTGAATATCACCATACAATATCAGTGGATTTTCCACCAGCTCAAAAAATCGAAAGTGGCTCGCATTGTCGCCTTCTGCTAGTGAGTGCTGTCGGAATATCTTTCTGTAAAAATGGAAAATATATAAAAAGGATGAGTCAAGTCAATTGAAGTTGCTTACCTCGTTTTTCATTTATATTATTATAACTCAATCAATTATACTTTTAGGACCACGATGAATCTAATCCAGCGAGTGTTTTATTTAGTCCTATTGGTGTAATTCGAACAGCATTTTCCGAAAAACGAGCTGTTCCTCGCCAGGCAAATGTAGCTTCTAAACTAATCAGTCGCGTAGAGTTGAACCCAACCATTTTCAACAACCCCGAACACTCAATACAAGGATTGGAAAGCTTCTCTCACGTATGGATTATCTATCATTTCCATCGCAACCAAGCGCATCTGAAAGCAAAAGTCGCACCTCCTCGTCTAGGTGGAGAGCGCGTCGGAGTATTCAGCACTAGATCACCCCACCGCCCTTGCCCGATTGGTTTATCGTTGGTGCAACTTGATAGAATTGAAAATTCTACTATTTATTTCTATGGCACCGATATGGTAAATTTAAACTATCCCAAGTTAGTATTTGTTGATCACCGTCCATCTATTTTTATTTAGGTTGACGAAACTCCTGTGTTAGATATCAAACCCTACATACCTCAATACGACGTTCCAGGGAAGATTGATGAGCAGCAATTCTACAGCTCCAGAGAGGCACCAGATGGTGAAGAAACCGTAGAACAAGCTACAGCGTCTAGCTCTAAGAGTAGCAATACAAGTGTAGCCGTTCCTAACTGGATAGCAAATGGCTCAACGTTGAAGGTTGTGTTCAATGTTAACTCGGATCAACAAGTCGAAGAACTGACTGTAGATAAGGTGAAATCGTTCAAACAAAAAATCTCACATCTTCAATAAAGAAACAACTATGACTTTTTTTTCAGCAATCAATCGCTGATATTTTGAAAGCTGATCCACGGTCAGTATACCTGCGAACAAAATATGGATCCCAGATATACACATTTCAATTGGGTGAGAATACAGTTACCTGTAAATTTGACGATCAAAACTCTACTGTGAACGTGCTACAAGTACGAAAAGTTGTGAATCTTAGTGACATGAACGAGAGAACAGATGATAAAGATGTTAAGTAAATATGTATCAATTAAAAAAACACAGCAATGCTGAGGTCCAAACCTTTTCACACTTAAAATTAATCCTGCAATGAGAAAATCCCGTACGATTAAATACAAATCTTACATATATAGGTAGAAAAGCAGCTTACCCGTAAAGAATAAAACTAAATTGAACATTAAAAAACATACTTTTTACCTAATCATGTTTGTATTACTCCATGCGTGAAGTTAACGATTTACATAATGGGAGATGCTTAACGTTAGATATAAGAGAGTGGTAATTTTGAACGATGGATGAGGAGATGAAAGAGATCAACCCGATTCATGCCTTCCATTGACCTTCCATGACAGATACATATTTCGAGTACAATGTTCAGTCTTCATCAGTGTCATTTCCCACTAAAGACTTAAAATCCAACCCTCTTATGTATCCCCTAGGTAAAAATGTCAAGATCACAGGTATAAACATTAAACTACAACGTATAGAATCCGTATCTATCTAACTAATAATAACTAAAGATTTAAGGGGTTACATATATGTAAAACCGACAAAAAGTCTTTTTTTTTCAAAAATGGTCGAATTCGATTGGTATTAGAAAACACGTGTTAGTATTTATTAGTATTAGTAAACACGTATTCGTAACTAATGTTCGTTGACCGAATTTTGTTCCGAGCGCAAAGCGAACTTAAAACTTGCTAAGCGTTTTTGTCGAAATACAGAGTTGATCTCAGGACTAGATGGACCAAATTGGCTGAAATTTAGGGGGAAGACTCACAAGATGTATCCCGTGTGTATGACAAAGCCGGATTTTAAAATTTCTTTTCTAAATACAAAAATAAAATATTGGCGATTTTTATATGAAAAACCATGACACTGCACATTGTAGTAGAAATACGTCAGGGCTATTCTGCGCGGCGTGTGAGGTGAAGTGACAGTGAAGTGATGGTGAAGTGACAATTGTCACCTCGGGTGAGGTGACTCTCCATTTGATTTGCACGGAGAGTCACTTCACAAGTGAGAGCGTGTCACCTCACCTCACACGCCGCGCAGAATAGGCCTGCGTATCTGTCATGGATGCTAAAATTGACCGGGGTGCAATAAATTCAAATAACAAAATATATATTAAAAATACAGCACTAAAAGCGTATGTTAAAGTTGTACGCTTTAAGCATTGCATCTGAAACTGGATAGTCACACTTATTGCTTGTAGTATAAGGAATGAGTGCACCGAGACACCAAGATGATAAGACGAAAATTCGCACTTTTATCACACTTTTTAATAAGTGAAAACGCGCTTTTTGTCCAATTTGGTGTGAAGAACGCAATAAAATTGTACGCAATATTTGTATTTTTCCAGTAATATTTCATGATTCTTTAGCAAAATACAATTACGTGTGCTCGATCCGTTCAAGTATACGTCCATTTCCAATAATTTTCACCATAACTTGATGAATAATTCACAGAGAAAAAATTAACTTGGCAACCAGCTTGGCAATATATCTATTAAAAAAAATCACGTCTATTATTTCCCATCTATGTCTATATAGAAATTCCATTAGTAATGGGAACAGTCTTACTACCGCTATTTCTTGGCTGTTTTCTTTGACTTTAATCAAATACACAAAATTAATTAAATTGGATGCAGGATAGCCGATAAATAGCTGTGAGTGGATGGTACCAACCTACTGCGCTATTCAGGAAAGTCCAGTAAAAAACCTAATTTTCAGTAATGTTTACTGCGTTGAAAAAAATACTGGACCCATAGCATTTATATATTATAGCCGAAAGTTTTTTTTTAATAAAGTGGTGACTTGTTGTCACGCTAAAACAATCGTTCTGAGTATTCGCCAAAGTCCCTTGACTACCGTGTACTCAGCATCTGTTGTAACTGTTCTCAGCTGTTCTAATCTCGTCAAAAAATATACCGAGTTCAGTGAAAAAAGTTAGTGTGAAAAAACATGAGCAAATTTAACGTCCAACTTGAATTTTCCGTGAAAGTAGAAAGGGTATATGTGGATGCCCAGTGGGGCATAATGTTTTTCGATACTTTCGATATTTCTGACGACCATCATGCTCTAAATTCCTGTTTTAAGAACTAGAAGAGCGAGAAGAGCAGAGTCAAAGCAAAAACAACCAACCTCCTCGATCCAGTCCAGACCAGACACTCTCCGACGGAGCACAGTAATTTCTCTCAGAAACAGCTGAAACGTCACAGCGTACGGACGTCTTTATTTTACGTGCGGTGCAACAAAATACTGCATTGTTATTACCTTGGCGGTCGAGCGAACCTCTCTCAATCGCGTTCGTGGACATGAATTATCAGTGAATGCTATATACCTCTTTAGGTAATGATTATTTCGAAAGGATAGCTACGATGAAAAGATAGTAAAGTGCAGTGACGTCAGTGTGATGACAAAAATAAATCAGTGCCTTATGATTGTGATAGATAGTAATGTGTTGTGAGCAGGTGAGATGAAAGGTTCTGAGATTAAATTCAATAACATTTGTACCACTGTCTCCCATCACAAGTTACCTTGAAACTGCACGAAACATCATAACATAGAAGGAACAGAATCATCGAGTTGTTGTCAAACCGGTTTCCCATAAATTAGCTCGAAGTAGCGGAAAGCATTCCAACAGTGAAACGGTGACTAAGAATGCGTTAGAAGAGCCAATGAATCGATGTTGTTATCTGGGGGAAGGCAGTATGGACGGCGTGGATAACCTTTTTTTCTCCCATCAGTCGTTTACTTTTCAGCATTGCCTTATCTTATCGTTGTATGCTTGTGCAATTCGAAGAAACCTACATAAACAAACAGAAGCTTTCTGCAGATGTTGACCGAACGTTACGCAACAAATAGTAAACAATCTCCTTTATTTTCGTATTCGATCCATACCTTTTTTGTATGGACTATCCGTTTCATTCAAAACGGGGAAAAGAGCGAATACTTTATTTTAACTGATTTACTTATGTACATACTTGTAAAACTGCGATTACTACTTCTATTAATTTTCTATCTACACAGCTAGAATGAGCATCAGACTAGACCAATGCATAAATACAAATTGTGTACGTTGTGTTATGGAGATCGTTCAATAGTTCGATAGGAATTCTAATAAGTTTTAATATTTATTTTAAATGTAGGTCGTAGTAGTATAGGTAACAAGTTAATGACTCGTTGTTAAGATGGGGATTGGAATATGCAGTTAAAAATTACTCTTACGTTGAAGAATTTAAAAATTGAGGACGTTGATTCAAATGTTCATAGAAGAATGCGCCTCACATTTTTTTTTTGCAGTAAAACAGGTCTACTCTAGAATTCTGGTTGTCAATGTTGTAAATAAATGAAAGATCACTGATCCAAACATCATACTAAATTCAGTTTTTTGTTAAAACACCGACATAATAGGTACTAAGATTTCCAATACTTTTTCCAAATCGTAATAAAGAGAATCAGGCTTGCTTCCACTCACTTGCTATAAAACAATACTTTTCGGGATTGTGGAATCATTAGATGTTATCATAATAATCAGTAGTTGTAAGTTACAAAAAGAGGTTGTGAAGTATGTGGCACATACAACCTTTCAATATTGCTTCCAAAGCCTCACAATGAGCGATTTTATGATTCGTGAGCGCTCACTCTGAGTGAACGCTCACGAATCATAAGAACGTTGATTGTGACGTTTTGAAAGCGAAATTGACAGGTTTTACGGGTCAAACGCATACTTTACAACCTCTTCTTGTAGCTTACAAGTACAACATATTATAAGGTCCAATGATTTAATAATTACTAAAAACATTTTTTTTATAGCTAGTGAGTGGAAGCAACCATGCAGATAATCAAACATGTTGTTCACAAATGTAAAATGAGTTGTTCGAAAAATAGTTAATGTGGGGCACATACAGTTTATTACATTATGTATTCATTAAATTCTTCTTCTTTGACTTTATTGCGTTCCTGCTGGGATTTTTACGCCAGCCGTCAACTTAGTGTTCTAGATGCACTTACACAGTTGGTAATTGAGAGCTTTATAAGCCTGTACCATTTTGCATTAGTATGATTGTGTGGCAAGGACAATCATACTCTAACGCAGGGAAGTCGAGAAATTTTCTTTCCCGGAAAATTCCTACACCGGCCCGGGAATCGAACCCAGCCATCTCCAGCATGGTCTTGCTTTGTAACTGTGCCATTACCGAATGAGCTAATATAAACAATATAGGGTAGAGAACTACTTCGGCCTAATCACCCATTTTTAGCCTATCGAGCAGAAAACTTCAAATAAATCCATGATTTCAGAGTTAACAAGTCAATTATGCGTTTGGTACCATACTTTAGTTAATAAGCTACGGAACGAAGTCAATGAGAACGCGTGATATGAAGGTTTGCACCCATTATTCCCAAAAAAAAAGAAGCGCTCCGACTGAATCAATTTTTATCTTCATCCGATAGGCCGAAGTGAATTCATTGGCGTTTCAATGTTTTATTTTTTTTTTTTTATTATTATAGAGATTTTTAGCCATAGGCTCGTTCATCTCTTAAGGCGTTTCAATGCGTTAGGCAGTGTTTAGAATCCGTAGTCCGAGTTTGGCGTCAAGAAGCAGTGTTAGACTTTTGACAATATCTTAACGATTGGTTTTTATTTATCAAATCTTACGGTACATACGGAAAGGTAAATAAATTTGGAAGCCATCAGTAATAATAACATTCCGTTTGGTGCTAAACTGCGCTAGATTAAGAAATACGGTTGTGCTTAATAGGCCGGAAATGGGATAGTTAACCCTATATCAATATATATACGTTTGTTTCACGCTCAATGTGCCATATATGTATCGATATCGAAGAAAATGCCGAGATGAGAAACATTGATCTTTTTGGAAAACTAATCGCTGAAATACCAATTAGTAGAGAGTCTACTGTATTACATAAAAAAAAAGCTGTACGACCATTAATAATGCAATAAGCTTAATAAGCTTGAATAAATCATCACAACTTATACAGATATAAGGCGCATGGTTTTGCCATTTAGAACGTCACTGAGGTAAATCGACGTGTAAAATAGGTTACGCTAATTACCCATTCACACATTATGTCATAATACCCCACGCGCGAAGATGTATACGTTAGAATAACCGTGATTTAAAAACGTAAACAAAAGCAATGCTAATTTGTTGCTTCTTTTCTCTCTTCTAGATATTCGTTCACCTGTTCGATTGTGATATGTACAGCCGATGCTTTCTGCATGATTCATCAGTATCCTATTTTGTTTGGCATGCTTATGTTGGTACTCACAAACTCCTTCATCACAGTAAAAATGCCAACGAATTCAAGTTTAAGCTTATATGACTAATAAGCGCAACGTCACGCCTGTGAGTCACATGAATGTTTTAAATCAACCCTGCGACGTTGAGTGATTTTATCACTACCAGTGTGTAGAGGTGTATCGCGTGTAATTAGGTATCTTGTGTGAGCATTGTGAACGTTGAACGAAAATAGTAGTGTGTGGAACGTTGATAAGCTCGGACGACGCATTCGTGTACATATAAATGAGTGTTTCCGGAGTAGCGACATCTGAAGCAACACCGTTGAGAAGCAATCAAGTACAACCCACCGCAAGTGATCAGGTGCCACACCAACAACCGCATGCTGGTAGTAATAGCACCGGTAGCAACAATAGCAACAGTGGAGCCTCGAATCCCAATAGTGAAGTGCCAATCATTAAAAGCGGAACCATGGATGACACAAAACGAATATTGATTCGTGTTGGAATCGACTTTGTCATTTTGTGCTGCGGTAAGTTTGCAATGAACTTTTTTATTATCTGCAGGGAATCACAACAGAGAGAGCCACCAACAATAAAGACAAAACGCTTGCGAAGACTACTCACCACGATAAAGTATCTCTGTAATATAACATGATCGACACACCACAGACAAACGGACATAACACTAGCAAATTCATCATCGAACAAGAATTTAACGGACAATTTAAAAGTATTGAAGTTGCTAGTACCGCCACCTGTGGCGCGCATAGTGAATTCCCTTGCGTTTGACGTTTACACACTACCACCATCTGTTAAGTGTAGTGCCCACCACAGTGTACTCAACAGATGGCGGTAATGTTTTAGCGACGATGTTTTACAGTGAAAAATATTCAATGTGTTATGTCTGTTTGTCTGTGGACACACAGTGGAAGAAAGCCGAATAAAAATGCTTACAAGCTTTGTTGCAACAAAGGCGGTAGACGACAAAGGCTGCTCGGAACGGTGAAATGACATTCTCCATTTTTAACTTTTTATTTAATCCAAATTCAAATCAATATACATTCATGTTTTAACCTAGATGCTCCAGCTACTACAATAACTTATCAACCTTATTTGTTAGGATTACAGCCATGCCATAGCAAAACGATATAGTGATCTTCGTAAAAAAATGTAGTTTTGTTCCTTATTGCATAATATTAGACCCGTATTTTTTTTTTTTTTTTTTGTCATTAGGGTGAACATTTTCAGTTTCAAACAACTTATTTACTTAGTGAATTTTGAAGATGATTGTTAATTTAAAATTTTAAATAAAATTGCGAAAATGTGGTTGCTCAATGTTTGATGTTGCATTTTTGAAAATGTTGATCAAAAAATACTTAACTAAAGGGTATTTCGACAATTCTAGGTCTAATCCAACTGAGTGTTGGCACATTCCTGAGTTGAACTGAAAATGGGTATTTGCGTCCCTTAATAGATGTTACACGTCTGACAAAACTTAATCTTTGAGTAGATTGGTGCGTCTGCTCGATCTAGCTTTGTCCAACACAAATCAATCCTTTGAGCGCATTGAAGCGCCTTTGAATAAATGGTAAAGAGTTAAGAGAAAAGGATGTTTTTTTTTCTTCTAATAGGGGAATTTACGTATTCTCGTCAATCTAAGCAGCGTCTGCACTTCTACTAGCATTTTCTCAGCGTCACGCACATATATGATGTGTCTGTTTGTTTACATTCATCTGCTGCTTGCTTCTCTATCCATTCCAATCGACAGAATTTTTCAAAACGTTTTGAAAGCGTTTTTACAACGCTCCAAACTTCTCAGGTGAGTGTGACTATTGTCGGCAGTCTCTTTTTCTTCGGCAACCTTCCCATTAGAACTGCGTGTTAACCAGCTGTTCTATTATCGGCAACTCGAAATCAACCTCATTTTGTAGTGCGTATGCTTCATTTGAAGAAAAATGTAGCATTAATGTAATTACTGGATTGCTCGATCGTTCAAATATAATCAGATTGAAGCTGAAAGGCTAAACAATCGTTTGGACACATTCAGGGAAGTGCGTTGATGGGAAAACATAGAGAAATTAACGTTTAAATTTTGGTTGCCGAAAACAGTCAATGGGTGCCGAAGCCAACATTTACCCTACTTGTAGTTCTTGTCCCTTATTGTGTTCTTAACAGCCTGATTAGATAAAGAAGGTACTAAACTAAACAATAGAATTTAGAATAATGCACGGGAAAAAAAATCCGATTGCATTTTCATGAATAAAAAATCACGAAATATAAAAAAACTTACCATTCCATGAAATCATAACAATGATTCATGATTCCGTGATGGAAATTCATGATTTCATAATGCAGCCGAGTCATACCCAGTGATGGCACGAGTCCTGGAGTTTAACATTTTTTCCTTAACATTTGATACTTTTTGCGATAACCATTGTGACGACACACAAAAAAAAACTGGCAAGCGGCAAAAATGTCATGACATTTCTAAACTGTTTTCTGCCAGCGACAGAACATTTTCGTACAAAGAAGCAGACAAGACAAGCGGCACGCGCGACATAAATTTATGTCGTGTAGAATTTTGCTGATTTCTGGCTAATTACTGCATGTATTTGATGTTTATTGCATGGAATTAAAAGATAAGAATGAAAACTGACCACTCATAAGCATTGATGTTAAAATTATGCGTAAATAAGGGAGTTGGTAATTTACTGTCACACGCAAACCTGCAGCTAAAATTTCATTACAATAAACTGTTTGGAAAAATCAGGCTGCGAGATTTTATTTATTCTCTATCTCCGCTGTTCGCTTGGAATGTAGTTATAAACGGCCGCCCGTGTGCTGGCTGTTTTGTTTCGCTCTGGACGATGGTTTTTCAAAAAATGTACTGTTGCCACCTCTGGTCATACCTGGCAAACCGTGTTCACCGCATAGGTATCTCTTATACGCCTTTTGCCTTCCATCTTATACAAGTAATGCTAGTCCAGTGGTCAAAGTAAGAGTTTGATGATCGTAAGGTTTTTGGTTTGAATCCAGTCTGATTTTTTTTTTACAAATTTTGGTTTAAAAGCTAATAGTCAAATTCATGAATTTAGTTCATGATTTTAACTCGGATGATTAATGATTTCGGGAATCTTGGGTGCGTTACGCAAACATTGCTCAAGATATTATGAATATTATTCATGATGTATTTTCATAACATGGAAATAATGCTTGGGGTAGCACTTTTATGTTTGAATAATGATTAAAAGATGCATAGACAAGCATTACCTTGACAGCGCAGAGTGACTTTATTGAGTATTCTAGATCTTCATTGTAAACCTGATTAGCTCGGAAAATTAGCATCTCAGTTAAGTTTTTGTATTATGATCTGGCTGGTATAGCAATTGAGATGGAATTAATTTACATAATTTTGGAAGTCAATACGCTGTTTTCTGACCATGAATTAGCGTTTGGTTAAGCGTATTATCCGGCATAAATTTCTTATGGAGCTAGGTCTCAAAATGTGCTCAAGTGAAAAAAAAAATATAATGGGATTAACTTCTTCTTTCCTTTATTTAACGTCGGTCTCTGTTCCGCAATCTAGTGCCAATCACCGACGGACATCGATTGCCATCCATTGACGGCAATCGAATGTGCAGGAAGGCAGCTTCCACACCTGCGTAGGATATCGCACCCATTCACAACACACATGGGCCGGGACCAACGGCTTTACTTCCCTTCCGAAGGAAGACGTGACCAGAGATTTTTATGCCTCAGAAAAATCCCACCGACCTCGGCTGGGATTGAACCCAGACCCATCGGGGTGTTAGAAAGCAGTCACGCTTACCACTACACCACCGGCGCCGGCTATAATGGGATTAACGACAAGTATATAAGATGTAGGAATACTGGGTGAATTTATGCCCCTAGCGTTCAGTTCGGAAATAGTCAAAACAGAACATTTAAGGGTGAGAAAATTATCATGCTAAGGACCCTTCTTGTATCGTATAATTCAATCAAGCTAAGAAACGGATCATTAACTTGCCGAGACGGTTGTAGTTTCTTTCACACATCACTATCAATGGTAGTAAAATCCCGGTTAGGTACTTGCTTTCACTGTTTACATGGCGCTTACCACATTTCAAATTTGTGCGGTCTCTGTATTTTATAACATATATTTAACTTATATAGTTGAAGATGCTAAGCGTCAAATAACAGACTTAAAGTGGTCATGTTATACGATAGATGGAGGAGATGAAAGTATAGAGTTGTTAAAGGCCCCAACCACGCGTTTGTGATCGTTCTTGTTGACCTGACAACTTTTTTTCTCCGGATCTTTGCTTCTGATCAACAGTCAGACGTTCTTCGAACCGTTTTATGATACCAGACACCGTGGAATTCGCAATTCTCAACTTTTTTCCGATGGCACGATGCGACAGATCCTTATTCTCAAAGTACTCGTGCAAAACTTTTTCGCGCACGCACTGCTCTTTCATCGCCCTTTTGAAAACTTTTGCGCACCTGATGAAAGCAGCTCACAGAGTATAATCAATACACATTAAACTATGTCTACGCAAAATTTCAATTCATTTTACCGAACGGATAACAAGTTAAAGTAATTTGAGTATGTGCGGATTTTAAACGGTACACCCTTTATTTGATAAAAAAAAATAACTTTATTGTTCAGCCACGGTTTGACTAAATAAACCATTAATCAAAACGTTCGTGCAAATAACTGGGGCCACATTATGCAACCAAGTCGAATCGATTTTTCCATACAAGCGTTCCATACGGAAAAAGGCTTCGTTGCGACTTACCCAATGAGGCCCCTGATTTTGCCAGTAACTCGATCAGTAACGTAAATCAACGATAAGGTGTGTTCTAAATACAAATACTGATAAGATAAATAGCTTTGTTTAAACTTGATCTTATTCAAGGTATTGGCAACAAATACTTACTTATATCATAGCTAAGGTAAGTGCGTCAATTAAAAAAAAGTGCTCCAGGTTTTAGCCCTAGGACCTAAATCAAATTTGAAATAAATTTTAATGATTTATTAGCATAGATAATATCTAGACCAACAATTGAAATAGGCGGAACAACCAAACATAAACAATGGCTTTAAACGCAAATTCCTCGAGACACAAAGCACATCCAAGCAATCTAACACCGTTATCTGATAGAGCTCACTTTCTTTATCGAATGGCATTGTTAGTTTGCGTGGGAATGTTTTGATTTTCGAGAATTTTGTGTTCAAAGCCATTGTTTACGTTTGGTTGTTCCGCCTATTTCAATTGTTGGTCTAGATATGTTCTTAGTTTGTAACGAAATACATTTGGTTAAGAGTGGAAAAAATTGATAGAGTCAATTATAGGACCACTACTGGCACACCCCTATGATACCCCAAACGACATTAATTTGATGATGTGTGGTCACTAACAATCGTATCGAATGATTCATAGGTATGAAATTCACGAAGTTACTCATATTATTCCTATTTAAATGCTGAGCTGAATATCGAAACATTCCGCAATCACAACAATGACTA